TATCTTTATAGGTTAGGTTAGGTTAGGTAGCCGAAAATGTTAGGTTAGGTTAGGTTAGGTAGGTTAGATAGTCGAAAAAGCATTAGTTCATGAAAACTTGGCTTATTAGGCAAATCGGGCCTTGAATAGTAGGCTGAGAAGTGAGTTCTGGCTACTAGGTACGACATATATATATATATATATATATATATATATATATATATATATATATATATATATATATATATATATATATATATATATATATATATATATATATATATATATATATATATACCTCTGGATCGTGGTACAATCTCCTTCTATTTGGGAATGCATGCCTAGCATTACCGCCCAGGAGAGACAAGTCATTAGCAACCTCTGTAATCAGGGCACTTAATGAATTCCCCAGAGCAGACAACCTTGTCCGCCTCCCCCCTCGTGCCAAGAACACCAGCCGCAGGACGACCAACAATAACTCATCTGCGAACCACAAAATGAGAGCACAGATCACCAGGAAAATAGAAGAGGGCAATACCACAGGTGCCATCAGAATCATGATCAGCGATGACACTATTGCCCCCAGGAACGCCACGACAGCAGAGGCTCTTCAAGACAAACACCCACCCAGAGCCCCAGACAGCAGCAGGGATCCCCAGGAAAACAATGCTGGCATAGAACCCTTGACTGTTCGAGAATCTGAGGTGTACAAAGCAGCCATGTCTTTCGCAACAGGTTCAGCAGGGGGCTTTACAGGCCTAAGACCCCAGCACATCAAACAAATGCTGAACCCGGTGCTTGGAGATGCCGCCAAGGACCTTCTAGTGGAAATTACCAGATTCTCCAACTTGTGTTTGGCTGGCGGCATCCCTGAGGACATCAGGCCTGTCTTTTATGGAGCAGCACTCTGTGCTCTAAAGAAGAAGGATAGGGGTATCAGGCCCATTGCCGTTGGCAACACCCTCCGACGCCTCGTAGCTAAGGCTGCAGTGAGATCTATCAACCAGGAAGCAGCCACCTTGCTGAAACCTCATCAGCTCGGGTTTGGGATTTCCCTAGGTTGTGAAGCTACAGCACATGCAGCGCGGGCTTACATTGCTGATCTCCCAGACCAGAAGGCACTAGTGAAACTTGACTTCAAAAATGCTTTCAATCAAGTCAGACGAGACGCTGTCCTCAGGGCTGTACACAACCATTTCCGCCCCCTTTACCCATTCATACGATCGTGCTACAGTGGGGACTCTAAGCTTCTTTTTGGGAAGCATGAAATAAACTCCTGTGAAGGTGTCCAACAAGGTGACTCCTTAGCCCCCCTCTTTTTCTGCCTAGCTATCAAAGAGGTCACTGATATTCTGACAAGCGAGCTAAACATCTGGTACCTGGATGATGGCACTCTCGCTGGAACTCCAGAAACCATTTTGGAGGATATAAGGAAAATCCAGGAGCAGGGAGCAGTCTTAGCACTCATTCTCAATGCATCCAAATGTGAAATAATCTCCCGCAACCCAGACATCACTGGGCAAATACAAAATGTTCTTCCAGACACTCTCGTTGTCGAACCACCGGACTGCACTCTCCTGGGTGCCCCCATTGGCCCACGAGCAATCGAGGAGGTCCTGGCTGCAAAAATCACTGATCAATCAATCCTGTCCAGCATTCTCTTTAGAATGCTGGACAGGATTGACGAGATTGATGCCCATGATGCTCTCTTTCTCCTCACAAGATGCCTGTCTCTCCCTAAGTTGACCTACTTTCTGAGATGTTCTCCATCCTACAGCAGCCCTAAGTTAAATGTGTACGACACCCTTCTGAGGTCCATGCTGGTGAAAGTCCTTAACCTGCCATTGGATGACTCTCAGTGGGAGCAAGCAACCCTTCCTGTAAGACTCGGCGGCCTTGGTGTCCGCACGGCCTCCCAAATTACTCTACCAGCCTTCCTTTCCTCCTCCCACGCATCGCACGACCTCGTCAGAGATATCTTACCTGCAACCCTGAGAGATTCAGCAGGAATACACGATCCTGCTTTCACTGAATGTTCATATCAGTGGGATGTTCTTGCAGCCCCAGCAACCGTTATAGAGCCAACAAAACAACACAAACAGTCCGGCTGGGACCACCCTCTTGTGGAAAAAGTACCTGATGCCATGCTCAGCGTCGCAACATCAGACAAGGAGAAAGCCCGTCTCAGAGCAATGCGTGCCCCCCATGCAGGAGACTTCCTCCTGGCAGTACCCATGTCAGCAATGGGCACGCGCCTAGATCCAGAATCCCTTCGTGTAGCAGTGGCCCTCCGCCTTGGTGCCCCAATTCACACTGAATACAAGTGTATTTGCAACAGGGTGGAAGCAGACCAATACGGACTGCATGGGTTGCATGCAAGCAAACAAAGTGCTGGCATGCAAGACACAACGAGGTCAATGACATCAAGAGAAGCCTTGTCTCAGCTAGGTGCCCAGCGGAGAGAGAACCTCGCATCCTAGGGGTCCAAAACCCGGATTTCCCTGCACTTCGCCCTGATGGCATCACCATATACTCCTGGAAGGAGGGTAGACAGTTGGTGTGGGACTACACATGTGTATCCACCCTGGCTGCCACCTATGTACACTTCGGAGCTGATCAAGCAGGTGGGGCGGCCAACCACAGGGAAACAGCAAAATCACTCAAGTACAGGCGACTGGAAGGTCAACACCTCTTTGTTCCCATAGCGTCTGAGACGCATGGCCCCTGGGGCAAGAGTGCCTTGGGATTTCTCAAGGAATTGGGTTCCTAACTCATTGACGTCACCAGAGACCCAAGGGCTTCCAGTTTTTTGTTTCAGCGTCTCAGTGTGGCGATCCAGAGGGGAAATGCTTGCTGCGTCCTCGGTTCCTGTCCGGAAGCGGAGGAGCTTCAAGAGATCCATAACCTTTAGGCATTTGTCTTGTATGTTTTGTAACCTTTAAATACACAATAAAGCAAAAAAAAAAAAAAAAAAAATAAATAAAAGGGAAGGGGTAGGTGGTAGGAGAAAAGCTCACAGAAACTGTATTGGAGGGGGACCTACATTCCCTCCAATGCGTTATGTGTGGTTTCCTCCGAGGCTATGGGTCCCCCTTCTTCCAGCCAGTGGTGGTACTCCCTTTTTAATTTAATATATATATATATATATATATATATATATATATATATATATATATATATATATATCTGGCAGGAGTACATGATCCCAATTTTACACGCTGTGCCACAGAGTGGGCCTCTCGTGCAGGCCCATCACCTCAACCACCATCTCCAAAAGCCCACAAGCAATCCAGCTGGGATGGCCCCTTTGTAGACCAAGTTACTGCAGAGTGCCTGGGTGCTGCAACAACACAACACGACATTGCTCGCCTCACAGCAGTAGCAGCCCCACATGCAGGAGATTTCCTGTTAGCAACCCCAATGTCGGCAACTGGCACTCGTCTCACGCCACACGCCCTCCGAATTGCTGTGGCCCTCCGCCTTGCTGCCCCAATTCACACCAGATATAGGTGTATTTGCGGCGAGGTGGTGGCTGACAGGTACGGCCACCATGGCCTACTCTGCCAAAGCACAGGGGGATGGCACTCAAGGCGCAGTGAAGTTAACGACATCATCAAGAGGAGCCTCACCACAGCTGGATGCCCAGCTGAAAGAGAGCCCCGTTACCTAACGCCCCGTAACTCTGATGCTCTTATTGGTCGCCCGGATGGTATCACAGTGAACCCCTGGAAGAATGACAAGCAGTTGGTATGGGACTACACATGCGTATCAACCCTGGCTAACACCTACATTGACCTCAGTGTTGCACAACCAGGTGGCGCTGCCACCCACAGGGAAGCAGCCAAATCCCGTAAGTATAGAGAACTGGATCACCACTACAATTTTGTCCCCATTGCTTCTGAGACACTCGGCGTCTGGGATAAAAGTGCTACCAGTTTTTTTAAGGAACTGGGTTCTAGGCTCATTGAAACAACAAGGGACCCTAGAGCTGCAAGCTTTTTTTTCCAGCTCCTCAGCGTGGCGATACAGAGGGGAAATGCGCACTGCATCCAGGGTTCCTGCCCGCCATCTGAGGAGCTGGAGGAACTCGACAACCTATGATAACCATCTTTGTAACCTATATGTAACTCCTTTTTTGTAACAAAATTCAAATAAAGCAAATATATATGTGTACATACAAAAGAATGGGGGTGGTAGGAGAAGATAATATTAGTGTTCAGTGAGAAACAACAAGGTCTCCTCTGAATACTTATTATTTTCTTCTCCGAGGATATGGGTCCCCACATTGGCACCAGAGGTGGTACCCTCACAAATTTTCTTATATATATATATATATATATAAGATATATTTATTTTATATATATTTATATATAATTTCTTATAATATATATATATATATATATATATATATATATATATATATATATATATATATATATATATATATATATACATATATATATATATATATATATATATATATATATATATATATATATATATATATATATATATATATATATATATATATATATATATATATATATATATATATATATATATATATATATATATATATATATATATATATATATATATATATATATATATATATATATATATATATATATATATATATATATATATATATATATATATATATATATATATATATATATGCAACAATGATCACAAAAACACTGATCCAAGTATACAGAATAACCACATGAGAAAATATAGAATGCTTAATGCGTTTTCGGCTAATTCGCCTTCATCAGAGCAAAGTGCTAGCCTTTCTTATTTTGTGCTAGCCTTTCACTTCCCTAGAACAATTGATTGATATTGGCTAAGCTATGTTTTCTAGTGATGCTGAAGGTTACTTCCTCATTACATTAATATGTGGTTCTTCTCCGTTTTTCTTAACAGTGAAACAGGGGCACTGATCGGGATCACATCATAACATATATTTATGTGGGGATCTGTAACCGGCGTACCATATAATATAAAATAATGTGGGGGCCATGTCCATGATCATCAATCAGGTAACTCCTGTTGTTCAGGATCATTATGATGTAACTCCTGTTGTTCAGGATCATTATGATGTAACTCCTGTGTTTCAGGACCATTATTGTTGTAATCGTAGTGTTCAGGATTAATAATTATGTATGACACGGTTGAACTGATCCATGATTATTTTCTAGTTTGTTGTGCCTATTTAAAGTGAATGTTTGGGTATCATTTGTTTGAAGACGCTTTGATGACTTGTGTCTCTGCGTATGATTCAGCTTGCAGTCCTGTGTGAACGTAATTATTACTGCACTTGCAACGGTGCAAGACAGAGGTAAGTGTACATGTTTGTGCAAATGGGGCATTTGCTAATTCGAGTATATTCTTATTTTGGTATAATAATTTTCGTAGAAAGTGTCTTATTAATTAATTAATATGGAGGGAGGGAGTTATCGAGAGAAAGTGCCAAGCCATAACGACTATATAGTACTTGGAAGGGGTCAGGATAAGGATTTGGGATGGGACGGAAGGAAGGAATGGTGCCCTACCACTTGGACAGTAGGGGATTGAACGCCGACCTGCAAGAAGTGAGACCGTTGCTCTACCGTCCAGCCTAAGTGGTTGGTAACTAATATGGAACAATTAGTAAAAGAAATTTTGCAGAATCCATCAGTGGATAGGATTAAGTCATTAACTAAATCAGTGTTGATTTGTATGGGAAAACTCTAGAGTTAGAAGTGGCACCCAGAATTGGAAGAATACCCTGAAGAGGTTGAGAGTACTGGCAGACTAAGAAGGCAGGTGTTAGAACTTCAGCTAAAGCAAGTTGAGTTAGAAAGATTTAAGTGAGTAGAAGAAACTAAACAAAGAGAAGAAGAAACTAAACAAAGAGAAGAAGAAACTAAACAAAGCGAAGAAGAAACTAAACAAAGCGAAGAAGAAACTAAACAAAGAGAAGAAGAAACTAAACAAAGTGAAGAAGAAACTAAACAAAGAGAAGAAGAAACTAAACAAAGCGAAGAAGAAACTAAACAAAGAGAAGAAGAAACTAATCAAAGAGAAGAAGAAACTAAGCAGAGAGTAACCGAGTTATAGTTGGCTAGACTCAGAAAAGAAGAGGAAACTAGGCAGAGAGAAGCCGAGTTAGAGCTAATTAGACTCAGAGGAGAAGAGGAAACTAAGCAGAAAGAAATAGAGATAGAGACAGTTAGAACTAAACATCAGATGGCTGAGGCGCACATTAGGCTTGAGGAGAAAAAGCTAGAAGCTGCAGCTGCTGTTAGAAGTAAGGGTTCTAAGGGAAGTTCTAGTAGTAGTCACAGTAGTGGACTTTATTTTCCTAACGGGTTTGGATTACCCATATTTGATGAGAAGGACCAGGAACTGTTTTTCTTGCATTTTTTCAAAGTTAGCTACTAGTTTAAAATGGCCAGAGGATTCTTGGGTGACCATTAGGCACGGTCGGTTGTGTGGGAAGGCACAAGAGATTTTCGCCTCTCTCCCTTTCGAAGACAGCTTTCATTACCTCACAGTTAAAAAGAGGATCTTGCAAGCATATGAACTCAATGCTGAGGCATTAAGACAAAAGTTTAGAGGTCTCAAGCGTGCACCTGATCAGACAGTTACAGATTTTGCTCGAGTAAAAGAATCAATCTTTGACCGGTGGCTTAACTGAAATAATACTCATAATTTTTTGTCACTTAAGCAGCTCATCTTAGTAGAAGAACTTTTGTCTTGTTTGCCTGTAAAGTTGATCATTGCACTAGCCACAAGTAAATGTTCTTTCAAGGATGTTCATGATATAGCTATGTTGGCAGATGAACATGAGACGATAAATAAGATACCGTATAATAATTTTCACATGGCACCTAAAGCATTCACTTCTAGGCAGGATAATTCTGGGAGGTCAAAGAGTAGTCATTATAATGCTAAGTCTGTTCTTACAGCCAGGGGCAGACTATGCATCTAGTAAATCTAAGGGTACTGTTAACCCTAGTAAAGCTACATCAGGTTCGACAAGTTTGACTGATGTGAAAAAATGTAATTATTTTCACAAGAAAGGACATGTTGTTCGTCATTGTTTCAGGTTACATCCGGAATTACGACCAAACGCCTTGGTGGTGAGTAAAAGAAGGCAAGGTCATAATTCTGAGGCATTTTGTAAGGGTAAGCCACTTTTGTAAGCCCTTTTGTAAGGGTAAGGAAAGGGTAAGAAGTGAATAGCTTGCTGATTTTGACCCTTATATGATTCGTGCTAAAATGGTTGGAGTTGTAGACAAGTGGATTCCTGCAGTTATGTTTAGAGACACTGATGCGTCGTTAACCTTGATTACTTCCAGTAGTCAGGATGTAATGATTACTTCCAAGGTCAAGAAGATTGACCTGGACGAAGTAATGCTTATACAGGGTATAGTTGGGGTAGTGCAACGTGTTCCCCCTCATGCAAGTATACATTAAATTCCCCTATACTACTGGACAATGTACTGCATGTGTGTGTGATATCTAACCTATACCTGGTGTCGATATAATTCTAGGAAATGACATTGCCGGTACTTTGATAAACAGTCATCTCCCCATCATGTTTAATGACCCAGGTAGAGTTCTCTCAGAAACGAGTGAGATTGCTCCTGAAGTGTATCCAGCCTGCGCAGTCACCAGATCTCAAGTCGCCAAGTCCCAGAGTGATGTTTCCAACCCTACAACCGGAGGGATGGCTGGAAAACCTCTAACGTTAGAACCGGAAATCAACTTGGTTGACACTTTTATGGCTAGGTTGGATGAAGTTAATACAGTTGAGGGAGTTGTGCCATGTATAGAAGTTGTACCTCCTGTCACTACCTCTCGCCCTAATTTTCATGTAAAGTCCCACACTTTAAACAAACTTCTACAGAGTGACCGTAGTTTAAATGCCTGTTTTCAGAAGCTGTTAAGGAGGAGGATGCTTTGACAGATGATGTTGGATACTTCCTCCGAGATCAGATGCTGATGAGACGATGGAGAACTAAGTTATCTCCCTCTTCAGAGGACTGTGAGAGTGTTACCCAGCTTGTGGTCCCCAAAGCATACCGTGAACAAGTCCTCTCAGCTGCTCACGACGATCCATTAAGCGGTCACCAAGGGATTAATCGAATGTTATACCAGGTATCAAAGTATTTTTATTGGGCCAGTCTTAAGAAAGATATTGGCAAATATTGTAAAAAGTGTGTAACCTGTCAAATAGTGGGTAAACCTAATCAGAATGTACCTATAGCTCCCCTGCATCGAATTGTAGTTCCAAGTAAACCTTTTTCCCACATAATTATTGATTGTGTAGGCCCTTTGAATAGGACAAAGTCAGGTCATGTATTTTTAATAACCTTAATGTGTGCCACATCAAAGTTTCCAGAAGCTTATCCTGTAAGAAACATTAGAGCAAGGGCAGTTATCCATCACTTGACAAAATTCTGTACTGTGTTTGGACTACTTCGAGTGATCCAGACTGACAACGGTAGCAATTTTCGTTCTCCAGGGCTCAAAAGATTTTGTGAGAAGTACCATATAGAACATCGCATGTCTAGTACTTATTATCCACAGAGTCAAGTTGTTTTGGAGAGATTTCACCGGACTATGAAGCAGAAGTTACGGACTGTTGGCGAAGACTCCAGACGAAATTGGGATGATGACTTACCCTTTATCTTGTTTACAGCTCGAAATGGTTTACAACATTCCTTGGGGTGTTCTCCTTTCCAATTAGCTTTTGGACATCAAGTGAGAGGCCCAATCCAGGTGCTGAGTGAACGTTTGATGGGAAACGTTTCTCTGCATGATGGAAGTTGTCTGTTGAGTGAGATCCAGTCCAAGTTCAAGAAGTACTAAGACGTGGCGAGTGAGGACCTGAAGAAGTCGCAGTTGAAGATGAAACAACACCATGACAAGAAGTACAGGGTGAAGCTTGAGATGTTTTAGGCCAGGCGATCTTGTTCTTGATTTAAAGTCTAGAGTGGAGGCTGCTTTAGCTCATCATTTTGAGGGTCCGTTTGAAGTTATTTGCAGACGCTCTGAGTTAACTTATAAAATTAAAAGTCTGCAGGACCCTTTCAAGGGTTTGGTAGTGCACATTAATAGGTTAAAAGCATTTCAAGGCTCCAGAGCAGTGTCATGTGTGGTACAGGACACAGTCACCCCTGAGAACCATATAACTGATGACTTGTCTAATCCTACCTTTTGTAATTCTAGTTTTGAGAAGATGTTGGGACACTTGGATGAAAGTAAACAGGGAGAGTTGAGAATCTTACTACACCAGTATTCTAATCTGTTTGGAGAAGTACCTACTCAGACCTTTGTTTTGAGCTATGATATTCAGCTCTCAGACACCATCCCTATTCGTGTGCATCCGTATAGAGTACTCCTGAAATAAGGGATATTATCAGGAGGAGAGTGGAGTTCCTCCTGATAAATGGTCTAGTTAGCCCAGTCAAAGTTCTTGGTGTTTACTATGTTATTTCCTAAACCGGATGGGAGTTGGCTCCTGTGTACTGACTACAGGCGGTTAAATAAGGTAACTGTAGTAGACACTTTCCAATTGCCATTGTTTGAGGATTGTATTGACCAGACAGGTCACTTACAATTTATATCTAAACTCGATTTGTCAAAAGGTTATCATCAAGTGCCTTTGACAAGCCGAACCAGTGAATTTTCACCCTTTGTGACACCTGATGATTATTTTCAGTATAACGTTATGCCATTTGGTCTTAAGAATGCCCCAGCAACTTTCCAGAGATTAATGAATTTGTTGTTGCAGGATATTCCAAATTGCCGTGCTTATTTAGATGACATTGTTTTGTTTAGTGATTCTTGGCTAGACCATTTACAGGGTTTAAATTTGTTGTTTGCTAAGTTGCAAGAGGCCAATCTTACTGTTAACCTTAAAAATGTAACTTTGCCAGAGGTACAATTGTTTATCTAGGGCACGAGGTTGGTCAAGGTAGGGTGATGCCTTTATCTGATAAAATTAAAGCCATTATTAAATATCCTGTCTTGACTAACAAAAAACAATTTCAGCCATTTTTAGGGATATGTGCCTATTACCGTAGGTACTGTAAGAACTTTTCTATGGTAGCTTCACCTCTGAATGATTTGTTGCAGCAGAGAACTAAATTAAAGTGGACTATCCAGTGTCAAGAAGCCTTTGATGGTTTAATAGGTATCTTATCTTCATCCCCAGTCCTCGCTAGTCGTGATTTTACTTAGCCTTTTATATTGTATATAGATGCTTCTGATTTGGGTGCAGATGTTGTCCTACTCCAGATTGGATGTGATAATGTTGAGTATCATGTATACTATTTTCCTAGAAAGCTCTCTTGTACAGAGAGAAATTACTCTGTTGTTGAGAAGGAGGCTTATGCTCTTGTGTTGGCATGCAAGAAGTTTGAGGTATATCTACATGGAAATAAGGTTGATGTGTATACTGACCATAATCCTTTAATATTTATTGACAGAATGAAAATACATTATCAGAAAATTTTGAGATGGTCTTTATATTTGCAGGAATTCAATCTCCACTTACATCATATTCCTGGCAAGTTAAATGTTCTGGCTGATGCCTTGTCTAGGTGTTTTCCTGAGAAAACCCTGTGTTGAAGAACCACCCTAAATTTTCTGATTTACTTGATTATATAATGATTAAAATTACTTTTTATGTGCTGAGTTACTTGTAACTGAAGTTACTTGTTTCTTGTTTAAAACTTGATGATGTTATATTCATATTATATATTTTCTATATACTGTAGTAATTGATGATGTAGTTGTGCTTGCACCGTATATTGTGCAGCTTATGTGGATTATTGTGAATATATATGTATTACTAGCTCTACCTGGCCACAGCAACCTTCCCCCTGTCCCCCAGTCCTCCCCACCATCCCCCCTGCCCTGTCCCCTCATCCTCCTAACCATTCCTCATTCACCCGTCCCCTCTTCCTCCCCACCATTCCCCATCCCCTCGTCCTTTCCACCATCCCCTACTCCTCTGTCCCCTTGTCCTACCCATCATTCTCAATTCCCCTGTCCCCTCGTCCCCACCAACCTCAACTACCCCGTTCTCCCCACTACTATCCCCT